GTGTTTTATATTGGGAGGGCAGCAAGTTGTTAACTAAGTAATGTATAAGACCCAAATATAAAATTATATTTTAATGACATAAAAGATTTTAAAGTGTAATCAGAATCACTACTTTGAAACCCTTCACAACAGCTAAGAAGCAAATGACTAATAAGTCAACTTAAAGAAGTCTCACGTTTTATGTGAGGAATGATAGGTATTTCATTTGCCTGGCAGTTGTGAGCTATGTTGTTCTCTATTTCATTGTCATCATAGTCGGAAGTTGTAATATCAAGATTGTATGATTTTCGAAGAAATATGGCCAAAGCTCCCGTGCCACTGAAATTAGATGCAACATTAGCAAAGAAAAAATGAAATCAATTGTCTGATAAGTGCAGAGCTACAGACATAGTATACACTTTCACAAGAATACAACGGAGTGCTAGTCACAGAAACGAGATATACAACCAAGTGCAATTGTATAGCTTCACTTTGAAAATCTTGAGCAAAACTTTCACCCTTTCAAATAAGTAATAACTAACTACCTTAGACATAAATTAATATACAAGTAATCCATATATACCTCCCCAACTCAATAGCACGCCTTCCTTCAATGCATGATCTGTGCTGAACTAACCATTGTGCAAATGAAAACGTCCCTGGCCAGAGTAAATTAGCATTCAGTTGATGAAAGGAAAATTCTCGGACAATCAACTCCTGCACAAATCATAAAGGCGTAGAGCAACTCAGACTAGTAGAGTACAAATTAATGCTCAAAAAACCTCAACATTTTGAATCACAGTATTCCCATGATTAACACAAGGTGATATCATGACGGCATTAAATTACCAAACTAAGCAAAATACAAATGCTTAGTGTAAGATTGTTTAGCTTTCTAACTAACTTCCTATACATGCCAGGATCTGTCAATAATATGTTCCCCTGATCTGTCAATAATATGTTTTTTGGATCCACTGGGAGTATTAGTAGGTTTACAAATTATTCTCAACTTTACTCCAATATCGAAAGCATATTTTCTCCCTAAACCACAATGTTATATCATCCACACAAAGTATCAGATAAATGCATCTATGAATGCGTTTCACTTAAAAACTAATTAGATTCACATCAAATTCCTGCACAATAGTACTAAACTTGTCAAACCAAACTCAAGGAGATAACTTTTAACGATAAAGAGATTTTTCAACTTACATGTCAAGCCTGACTCCTCGCGAGCATTAAACCAATCGAATATTATATGAAATAAACATAATTATGGTCCCTTGTTTTGACGGACAAGCACACCCAATCTTTCTGAAACAATGATTTGGTAGACCAAAATACCCTATAAGGCAAGATCTTCCTAAACAAAATAATGTTTTTCCTATTAAAGAGATCGTACAAGATTTGTTTATCTCCACTTCCTATAATAAACTCAGCAATACCATTCAACCTTCACTAGCTTGAAGAGTTTTCCTCTTCCAAACAGTTAAGCACTTCAGCGCAAATTTTGATCTGTCCAACACATCAAAACAGCATTCCCCTGAGCCAACTCTACCACAGCATCATGTTTTTTTAATCATCCTATCACAGCATCATTTTTTTTAATCAGCCTACCACAGCATCATTACAAACTCACAGCAGTCCAGCAACAAGACTCTCACAGCAACCAAACCAATGATAACTATAGTTAGAAAAATAAAAACATAATCATAAAAAGCAACCCCTGTCAATTGCAATTTCAGTTTCCTAAAGAGCACAGCACTTCAACCAAACCCATCAAATAATGCCCCAACTAACCTCAAACTTTCAACATATGACAGTCCCCCAAAACAAACCCACATGATAATTTTGCTTAAACAGCCACTAATGATGTTAAAGAAGGAAACTTCACCATCCCAGGAAACTGGTGCTTCCTCTCAACATAGCTTTCCTGTGAGTCTGCATCTTCCTCACCTGCATTCAAAAACAATTTGTTCCACCAGTTAAAAATGGAATATAGAAGTAAAAGAACAAGGAATGAGAAAGAGAGAGAGAGAGAGAGAGAGAGAGAGAGAGAGAGAGAGGTGTTACGAGTAGGGCTGTCATCTTCACCAAAGAGGCCTGATGGAGAGAATATAGCTATATCCATTTGTTAGTGTGAATGAACATGAAATGTAATTGAAATTATTGAAGAGGTGATGAAGCTAAGAGTACAATACTCTTTAGCTGTTTAGGCACTGTTCTGTGACGTTAATAGTGATTTCGTTTTGGAATTTTTGGCGTGGCGGTGACAATGTGCAGGGCGGCGGCGCGTTTTGCCATGCCAACGTGCGTGATTGATTTTTTTAGGGATTTTACAATTTTTTGAAAAGTAATTATCATTAATTAATCATTTTATTTCAATATAATGATAATTAATCATAACTATATTATAATAGTATTTTAATTTGGGAAATATACAGAATAAATATTTTATTTTATATAACTATAATTTATAATGACCAAATAATTTTAAATAAAAAAATTTGTAAAAACATAAAATATGTTGATAAGTATTTTAAAATAATTCAATTTTAAAATAAGTATTTTAAAATATGTTGATAATTTAAAATAATGAAACTGAATATTTTATTTTAAAATAATTCAATAATATAAATAGAATTTCTTAAATTTGTCTCATTATTTAAAACATAAATCATTTCTATAAAAACTCGTTCTTTGATTTTCTTTACCTTCTCTTTAAGATATATGATCGTGCATCATCGGTTTGACGATCATGAAGTGTATAGGAGATCACAACAAAGTAATCTTAATTCCTATCTCATTAATTTCTGGTTTAGAAAAAGTAAGTTTCTACCTCTTTTTTCTTTTAGTTTTATGTTCATGATCATACTTAGGAACCCCTACACGTGTGTTAATAGTCTTCTATTCCTGGTTCTTGGTTAATTTGAGGTTCTAAAGGCTCACTTAAATCACAATTTGGTGATTTGTAGGCGCTTTTAGAGTTCCTTACGTTTGAAGCAATGGGTGTGCATGTTTAGAGTGTGTTAGCATTTTTGTTTTAGAGTATTGGTAAGTCATTTTTGATTTGTTAGAGCCCCTAAGTTGATAAAAATGAGCTAGAACTTGTGGAATTAAATTTTTGTCAGGAGTTAGTTGTTTTTAAGTTAATACCTTGTTGTAAACAATTGATAATTGGTTTAAGATAGGTTATACATAATTGTTTAGGTCTATAGTAGTTTAGAATCCAATTTAGGAGTGTTAAAAGTTTGTAAAAATGGTTAAAATAGGTCATGGATGTCCTAGGGGTGTTATTTATGTAGTTTTCGTGCTACATAATTGTCTAGTAAGGCTAGCCGAGCAAGAAGGGCTCAGTGGGTGAGTTTAAGTGAGTTTTGGCAGTAATCTAATCGATTAATACTACTAGTAATGTGCAATTTTGATCAATCAAAACCAAATTCACTTGTACACACATGATCTATGTATTTCATATTTCTCTTATGATCCTAAGCAATCTTATTTTCAATTTTCATTGTGCAATAGAGAATCAATTTTTACCAACTACTTTATGATACTTGATGGGATTGTTTATGGTTCTGTGATGAAAGCTTTGAGGTTTCATGTGATAGTATGTAATGTTTGTGTGAAGTATGTATATGATTATGAGAGGGATATGGTGATGGTGAATATGTGGTTGATTGTGTGAATGGTTGATGGAAGTGATTCCATGACTCGTGAAGAGGTTACATGATGACGCCCTGTAGTGTTGTTTGTATGAATGATCGAAGTTAATCCAGAGGTTTATCCTGACGCTCTCAATAATCCCAATCTCAAGTAGAGATGAATCTTTATGTCTTGGGGAGTAGTAGAAGGTCCTACTCTATGATCACTGGTTAGGGCCATAGACGTTGATGGGCTAACCTTGTGGATGGTATGGGTTGGTATTTGGTTTTGAAGGTTATTGTTGGAGGCCACCACAAGTGCATGAACCACCATAGCTTGACATTAATACTGTATTCGGATGGTCAAGTCTAAATCTATGACATGTTTAGGATGAATGTTTATTTTCTGTCTGGAATATAATGTATGATGGAATTTTATTTGATTAAGATAAAATGTTTTACCACTAACTTACCTTTATTCTTGTGTTATTATTCTCTTTTGCATTATCACTTAAATGGTGAAGCACGTGGATAATTAGATGGTTCTACAGAGATAGATCTCTTAACATTTTTGTAGGCTTGTTTTTATCCAATAGTTTTATTATCATATATATAATGTTTTATTTTAGTAGTTTTATATTATTAAAATGAGATGTTAGACATGGTGATACATGAATAAAATTAACATAAATAATTGGACATATATTTATTATCAATAGCAAACCTACTTTTAAATAAATTGGATGAAATATCATATTATTTTTATTTACAATAATTAAAATTATTATCAAAAAATTAAAATTAAAATATAATATATATTTTATTAAGTTAAATTTAATTAAAATTAATATTTAAATTATATTTTCTAAAATTAAATTTAATTGAAATTAAATTGAAGTAATTTAATTTACCTTAGATTTTTATAATTTTAAAAATATAAAATATCTTATTTTAAATATTTGATACACACACACACATATATATATATATATATATATAACCGTGGTTTTAAAAATTCGCCATTTTTTTTAAATAGATATCAAAGGAAAGAAAACTTATAATAAATTGAATTTTCTTTTTAAGAGTCAAGTAATGAAGAGATACTATTTATGTCGGATACCTATCCCTAAGTTTGAAGATCAATTTGACATAAGTTAATTAAAAAAAAATAATTGTAACATATTTTCGTAAACTAAACTAAAAATTTCTTTTAGAAAAACTCAAATCGTAAATTTTACACAGTTATACCAAGATTTATCCAACCAAAAGATCAAAGAGTCATTTATCAACTTCAATAACCTAAAAAAGAACAAAAAAAATGTTAGTGCCAAACATACATATATTCGTTCACAACCTACCTCGACTAGCTAGTACAGCCTGGTCTGAACTTCCGAAACTGTCTCTTCTCACATCCAACAAAAAAAAAGCCTTGGAAATTACGCCAACACCCTTGCCCTCTTCCTACCATTCCTCTCCAATAGGGGCAAAACGGTATTTCCGTATTCCCGACCCAACAGAACCAAGTAACCAAAACCTTCCCTCATTCCCAATTTCTCTTCAGATCCGATTAAGCCCTAACCCTAGCTCCCAAATCGCGTTCAGCGAGAATGGGGGACTTCAACCTGGCGCTGGTGATCGTGGCGATCGTGGTGTGCGTTATCGTATTCCTCGTCAACGTATACCTCCTCGTCAATTACCAGCACCCCGATGACATTAACCAGGCCTACTTCCCCAAATTTGTCGTCGTTTTGGGTCTCTCCGTCGCCGCCATCTCCATCCTCATGCTTCCCGCCGACGTTGCTAACCGTCAGGCCTGTCGGCACGCGATCTACAATGGCGCGTGCAATCTCACGCTCCCCATGAAGGACCTCTGGCTCGCGGTGTACATCCTCGACGCGATCCTCGTCTTCTTCGTCATCCCCTTCGCCATGTTCTACTACGAAGGCGACCAGGACAAGTAAGTACGTTGTGCTTTAATTCAAATTTTAAACTTTTAAACTTTTCGTGATTTATTGAAAAAAATTAAAATTTTGTTTGATTTGAGGAAACGCAATGCGTTTTGTTTTTGTTGTGTGTAGGAGTGTTGGTAAAAGGATTAAGAGCGCGTTGTGTTGGATGGTGACCACTGCGATTGTGTGCGCTCTTATTTTGGGGATTTTGTATGGTACGTTCTCGTAGTTTTGTTGGTTGTTTTATTTCAGTTGTACCTTGTTTCTAAATCTGTTCAGAACGAGGTAGGGGTAAGATGGTAATTTCCTGTGTGATTTGAAGGTTTAGTGTTCGGATTTTGTTGCTTTTTTGTGGTAGCTGGTGTTGGGTTGGTTTGTTTGGTTGGGTGAGGGTTATGTGATAGTGAATGGAAATGTTGTTTGAGTGGTGATATATAATCACTGTATAAACCATACATCTTCTCAATTCCTATTATTTCTGTCTTTGTCTTTTTACCTTATCCCATACTCACATTTATTTACTGTTGGGGGTCCATAGATTATTTTCCATGTTTTTCTGGATGGTTCAATGGGTGTGAGCAGTGGGATGAAGATTTGGAAGTTGAGAGTGGAATTCACAGAGTTGATATGCGTTAATTTGGGCCGATTTTTTTTGTTTCATGCTGGTGATCTCTCATTCGTAGGCATAGAAATCCATTGCTGGTTTCCTTGTGAAGCTATACACTATGTGTCCATCTTGTAAATTGTACAAGTCCTACGTTAAGGAAATGACAAATGGTGGGTTTTCGTGCTGTTTATTACTTTGTTCTTTGGGGGCCTGAGGGGTTGAGATTACCGAAGATATCAGTTGGTGAAGTTCCTTTGCTGTATGAAACCATGTTTAAGGATTATTTGGTAAGGAAAAGTTGTTCGTTTTGGATTAATGGTTGGATTAAGGTTGGGTTTTGAGCTATTATAGGCGGGGTTGGGATTCTGTGTCGAAGAACAGAAAATTCACATCAAATGGGATGCCAGAGTAGCTTCTGTCATATATGAATTTGATGTGAGTTATGAACACGTTGCCAAATACACAATAAGAGGGCAGGAATTTGATTCTGGCTGCCTCCATTCTTCATAAATCATAATTAAATATAATTTCAACCTGTTATCTGTGTTTCAAGCCCAAAGGGCTCTTTTATGAAGATGCGTGTTTTGAATATAAGACCAATCTTGATCCTCACAAATCCATAATCATAATGTTGCAACTTGCAAGGTATTAATTTCACCTATGCACCAAATACCACCCTCTGAAATTCATTATATGAGTGGAAGATTTGTTATATGACTAGTTATTATATGAGTGGAAGATTTGTTACTAAGTGTAAAATCTGTTTGTTCTTTTTTAAAAATCCACAATTAATTTAACATTTTATGTCCACTTTTGCTTCATGAGTATTGACCTGCATCTGACTGATTTGTTAGGACTTATTGGAAAGGTGGACTTTACTGTTAGGCATCTCTCTTCTTCCACAAACTCATTTCCTAGCACATGGGAGTTCAGCAGTAGTCAACAATGTATTGGAAACACACATCAGGTCTGTTGTTTCTCTCTCTCTGACCGAAAGTCCATATTTTCTCTCTCTTAAAAGTAATTTTTTTTTTGCCTGTGCTCATTCTGATTTTTCCCCTTTGTCTGAAAAACAGTGTTCTGCATACATTGCCAGTCCTTCATCAGAGAAAACCTGGACCATGCGTACTACCTTTCCGGAATATGTTGTTGCTCTGGCCACTATAGTTGGATCTGTGCTTTTTGCTGTAAGTTAATCCTATATCATATGCTGCCTTGGTAGTTTATGGATTTATGAGCAAGATATATCTTTTTTTTTTCTTTTCAAATGATTATACATTCTTTCAATTATCATATTTTTTCTTGTGAAAGTGTGTATGAATTAGGATATTGGGCTAGATCCTTTTGACTCCCTAAAAATTTTAATCTGATCCTATAAATTGCACACAAGCAGAAGCAACTGCTTATAGTGACTCTGGTAATGCCTTGCATCCAAGGTCACAAGTAAGTTTATTTCCTATTACTGATGTTAACAATTGATTTCTCACCATTCAATCCAGATATTTGGTGGTGTTGGTATTGCTTGTCTTCCATTGGGACTTATATTTTCTTTCATTCGGCGTCCAAAGGCTGTTATCACTCGTTCACAGTATATCAAGGTGCTATATTCTTTTAGAGCTGGAAACTACTAAATGTTGATTGAATATGCTGTATTATATTTATCGTGTGGTTTGTTGGTTATGGTTGTAGGAAGCTACTGAATTGGGCAAAAAAGCAAAAGATCTGAAGAAAGCAGCTGAGTCACTTCGTCAGGAAGAAAAAGGTGGTTCAAAGGGTAGGAAATTTCGGAAAAATGTGAAATCAGTGGAAAAGGTATACTAATATTAGTGCTTTAGTGGTACTTTATATTTCCAACATCGTGTTAAGTATTTTATGTGTACCATTGTTCACATGGACTGCCATATATTAATTTAATGTGTGCTTTTCTAGTGGCTGCTCAAAGTTGTCTACAGTTTATGATTAATTTGTTTTTGTGGTTATGTTCTTAAACTTACCTATCTTGCATAATTTGCCAGGAGTTGCTTCAATTAGAAGAAGATGTCAAGCTTCTTGAAGAGATGTACCCACAAGGAGAAAAGGTGAGTTCCTTGTACATACTGGACTTCTAGGCATATACAACGTGCTATAGTTCCCCCACTTACTGATCCTGTATGAATGCAGGCTGAGGCAACATGGGCACTAACAGTTCTAGGGTATCTGGCAAAACTTGTTATGGGAATTTTAGGGTAAGCAATGGCATATAAGGATTGAGTTACTTGGAATGCTGGATACACTAAACTGTCTGATGATTTTCAGAAGGTTCTCTCCTGATAAATTTCATAAAGATGGATAGATAAATAGATTAAATGGTTTATTTTCATTACTAAAAATTGATTGAATTTAAATTAATGAAGGAATGACTGATAAGAAGTGTAAGTAAAATTAGATTTGGTTATAGAAATTTAATTTAACTAGGAGAAAATAATGATATTTTAGAGAAAATAGACAAAATTAGTTGAATTGAAGTGCTACTAGACGTATAAGAGTGGCAATAGACAACACCCCTTCGATGGGGGCAGTGAATACAGCTGCATAACTGTTACTGGGATATTATTACTCTTGCTATCTTAATCTAAAACAGGTTTTATGACTTCCATGTATCATCTAACTTAAGATTTGAAAACTGTGCCAGGTTAATCGTTTCTGTGGCGTGGGTTGGTCATATCATTATCTATCTATTAGTTGATCCTCCGCTTTCTCCTTTCTTGAATGAAGTTTTCATCAAGCTGGATGATATCTGGGGTATGTTGGAATACGCTTACCTTAATATTTGATTACCATAAGTTATAGAGTTTAAATACATTATATTCTAATTTCCATTCTGTTATTCTTCGTGATGTCTTCTTCTTTCATTAGGTCTTCTTGGTACAGCTGCATTTGCATTCTTCTGCTTCTACCTTCTTCTTGCTGTGATTGCTGGAGCCATGGTGCTTGGGCTGAGACTAGTTTTCATTACTATTCATCCAATGAAGTAATTAAACTTTGCAGTCTATTATACCATTTCACATTGATTTTAATTTGTATTGGTCACATACTAGGACTTGTTGATTACTATGTGAACTTATCTATGGCAGGTGGGGAGCTACTCTCATGAACTCTTTTCTGTTCAATGTGGGCCTTATTCTTCTTTCTTCCATTAGGTCAGTATAGCCTGTAGGATGCATTTTCAAATGTATATTATGTATAGAAGTTTACTTCTATTATGGTTGATGCATAGGTTCAACATTTGTGTTAAATTTTTATTTTGTACCTTTATAAATTTTAAAATAATGAATTTCATCCTTCTTTGATTTCATATGGTAGGAAGGGATAGTTTAACTGGAGTGCGTCATTGAAAGTGGTCTTACTTTCTGGCTTTGATTTTTCTGTTCAAAAGTTTAGAAGGAGCAGGAATATTTCTCTGTTGTGCCAGTTATTATGTGTTTAAGGAAGTTATTTATGGACAGAGTACCAAATAGGGTTCTCTACATAGCGAAAAATTGTTGTGCTGTCATGATATTCTGTGATGACATTGCTGAAAGTTCAGTTGTTTTACCTTTTCAGTGTGATCCAGTTCTGCTCCACAGCATTTGCCTACTATGCTCAAGCAACTGCAGCACAGGAAATATTTGGCCACACCTTGGAGTCTCTTCGGGGAATTAAATATTTGTACAAGTGAGTCAAGCTGAATATTTTTCTCCCCCTTTATCCTCTGATTGGGTGAAGAAAGAATCCAAGACTGCAAATTTTGACCATTTACTGGGATTGTCCCAGCTTGTCCTTCTAACTCCCCTAAATATCTTCTACTGATGATTCTATTATTATTTCATGCGCTCAAAATGTGAAAAACATAATAAATCAGCTGGTCATATATTGGCATGAATGAGATAAATTATTGAGAACTAAAGACGGGTAGTTAGGGGATTATATTTTACTATTAACCGTGGATATGTAACAGGGGAGGTTTGCATGCATTATTTGTTCTAGCATTTTTAATGCCTTGCTATTATAACTAACCCATGCATTTTTCATATCACAGATACAATGTCTTCCAGATCGCGTTTGTTGCATTGGCTGGGCTAACTTTTGTATATTATGCTGCCTTTGTAAGTTTAACTCGAGTTTTTTATTTTCTTTTCTTTTGTGTGTCAATGATTTTTGCTGATCCAGAAGAGGTTTTGAATTTGGAAATGTCAGGGATGGAGAAGAAAGAAGCCCAGTGGCAGGTTCCAATTGTCTACATGAGGGTAATGGTTTATTGCGTGGAAGAATGTTTTCTAAAGGTAGCCATCGGGAATTCTTATCGCAAAATCTCATTTGAAGTGGCTTTTATTTGGATGTGTGCATTGGCCTAGTTTTGTTTTTCCTTGAAGATTATAGAGTTGGCTGATGCGCATCCGAATAGAATCATTTTTCTGAGGTGTAATCATTGGGTGGGTGCTTGCGATACCACTTAGCTTTTTTATTCTTTCTCCAACCTTGTATGTATGATTCCTTGGTTTGATTTATGCAAACACATTCTTCTGATTATGTAACTGTAACTGAATATACCATGAGCACAAGAGACTACTGGGTTTTTCGTAACCCTTTAATGTATAATGCAACTGTTCCCAAAAACAAATTGTACTAGTCAATGTTTTAATGTTTGTTTCTCTGTAACGTAGATATCCTCCTATTCCTATACCAACAGGATGTTGGGTTTTTGTGAAAAGAGACTTTCGGGTCTGTTGAAGAACGTAATAATCTATTCCAGCAAATCAATACATAGTTTTATTCTAAAAATATCATGATTTGGGACGCAAGAAAAAAGATGTAGAAACACAAACCAATTATGATGCTAACGTGTATAAATCAAACTGTACTTGTACATTTAAAAAAGTCAGCGCTGATTTTAACGTTACCAAGTGTAATCCAAACATACTTTCGTGACATTTCTATGCAAAATAACCAGACACCTTTACTTGATATTGCTTGATCAATACATTGCTCATAAACTTACTTCTAACTACCTGAATAAAATTTAATGCAACAGGATTTAAAAGTGTGTCAAATATGCATCTCGAATTACGCGTGTTCGACATAATAGTGTTCATGGTCAGAAATACATTGACGCCATTAGTTTGATTCAAATATCTTGTAAACATAAAAATCGACGAAACGACAATGATTTGAATTTTGTTGGTAGCCCTATCTGTATTTGTGGTTCATAGGTAAATATACTTTGCCAAATTATTTTACACATGCAGCCTTAATGTGTTTCCTTTTTTATTTTGCAAAGATTAAAGAAATTGTACGCATTTTCAATTCAGTTATTTGTTCCACCAATGGAAAGCTGGCGAAGCTCCTTAATGCATCTGCACAAATTGCAAAGCCTTTTCTCTAAAACTTCATATTTCCCATTAAAAATAAGGCATGGCCTGGGATCAGTATTACATGAGAAGCGTTACCTATCAGCGATCTTGAATGACAAAATACATATTACAGTCTATTTAATTTCATGTCAGATATGATTTTCAGAAGCTAACGGTCATAGTTTCTTTTCGTATGCGATTTTATTTCTATTTTCAAAAGTGCTTTTAACATGCTACAATATGCTTTAAGAACAACATATTTCTTTAATCACCTATAAACAGTATAAAACCATTCCACTTTGAGATTCAAATTATGGGTTTTTCTGTTGCTTGAAAATGCAGAATAATTCTACTCCAATTGAGAATTTCCTTGGAAGTTCCCGTTAGAGACATTTATAATACTCTTTCTATCAGCACAATTTGGATCATGAAGAAAATCTTCTGCAAACTCTGTTGGCATTGAGTTCCAATGCAGACTAGGTTCCCAGTCTGCTTCTCTGAGGACCTTAAATATCTCTTTTGCCACTATTTTGTTTCCCTCATGTGACAAATGAATTCCATCCCTATCAAACAACACCCCATCAAATGAATCAATTGTAATTTGCAGATTTATACTTTTCCTTTAGATACATAAAACAGAAAGGCAGAAAGAGAGAGAGAGAGAGAGGGAGAGAGAGTAATTGGAATATAAACTCACGTGAAGCAAACATCTAACCAGTCATGCCTTTGCTGGAGTGCAGACCAGAGATCAATGGCTTTCACATTCATCTCACGGCACAGCTCCAAACATGCTTCTGAGTATAATCGACAGGATTCATTTGTCCTTTTTAATGGCCCCAGTAGATCACTGCTTCAAGTTCAACCATTAATGTTTGTGATTGAAACTATATTTTCAATAAAATCAGGCAGCAAGAATGTCAAAACTTTTGGAGTCCTCCATCCTCAAAATTTATCATGTGCCAGCATACTGATTCAGATATTGTTGGTACAAAGCGAAAGGTGCCATTATTCAAGCTTTGTCTAAATCTTTAAAACCAATTTATAAGACCCTTTGGCCAGGGTAAAAGTTCGACCTATAAATAAGTTGGTCTACTATGTAATCATATGGCAGAGAGAAAAGTACAGGTGTCATAAAAAAAGTAGAAGTGCAGGAATTACTTAGCCTCAAGATAATGTGAAATTAAAATGAATAACCATAATCAATTGGAATGAGAACCTGAGCATTTCATGCATTTGCACCTCATTGATGGGAGGGGAACTGAGAAATATTAAGCGAGTCTTCTTTGAAAGGCTCTGACAATCATTGGTAAAATTTCATTGTAATAAACGTGGATGCAAAGAGTACTATCAATACCAATAAATAAATAATACCTGATGTGTGGAAAAAGAAAGGAAACTTGTGTTGTTGTGTAAAAAGTTTACCATTAGATGGATTGCAATCTTCCTCATATTTTCAATGTATTCTTGGAGGGGTACATGAGGACTNACACATTGACGCCATTAGTTTGATTCAAATATCTTGTAAACATAAAAATCGACGAAACGACAATGATTTGAATTTTGTTGGTAGCCCTATCTGTATTTGTGGTTCATAGGTAAATATACTTTGCCAAATTATTTTACACATGCAGCCTTAATGTGTTTCCTTTTTTATTTTGCAAAGATTAAAGAAATTGTACGCATTTTCAATTCAGTTATTTGTTCCACCAATGGAAAGCTGGCGAAGCTCCTTAATGCATCTGCACAAATTGCAAAGCCTTTTCTCTAAAACTTCATATTTCCCATTAAAAATAAGGCATGGCCTGGGATCAGTATTACATGAGAAGCGTTACCTATCAGCGATCTTGAATGACAAAATACATATTACAGTCTATTTAATTTCATGTCAGATATGATTTTCAGAAGCTAACGGTCATAGTTTCTTTTCGTATGCGATTTTATTTCTATTTTCAAAAGTGCTTTTAACATGCTACAATATGCTTTAAGAACAACATATTTCTTTAATCACCTATAAACAGTATAAAACCATTCCACTTTGAGATTCAAATTATGGGTTTTTCTGTTGCTTGAAAATGCAGAATAATTCTACTCCAATTGAGAATTTCCTTGGAAGTTCCCGTTAGAGACATTTATAATACTCTTTCTATCAGCACAATTTGGATCATGAAGAAAATCTTCTGCAAACTCTGTTGGCATTGAGTTCCAATGCAGACTAGGTTCCCAGTCTGCTTCTCTGAGGACCTTAAATATCTCTTTTGCCACTATTTTGTTTCCCTCATGTGACAAATGAATTCCATCCCTATCAAACAACACCCCATCAAATGAATCAATTGTAATTTGCAGATTTATACTTTTCCTTTAGATACATAAAACAGAAAGGCAGAAAGAGAGAGAGAGAGAGAGGGAGAGAGAGTAATTGGAATATAAACTCACGTGAAGCAAACATCTAACCAGTCATGCCTTTGCTGGAGTGCAGACCAGAGATCAATGGCTTTCACATTCATCTCACGGCACAGCTCCAAACATGCTTCTGAGTATAATCGACAGGATTCATTTGTCCTTTTTAATGGCCCCAGTAGATCACTGCTTCAAGTTCAACCATTAATGTTTGTGATTGAAACTATATTTTCAATAAAATCAGGCAGCAAGAATGTCAAAACTTTTGGAGTCCTCCATCCTCAAAATTTATCATGTGCCAGCATACTGATTCAGATATTGTTGGTACAAAGCGAAAGGTGCCATTATTCAAGCTTTGTCTAAATCTTTAAAACCAATTTATAAGACCCTTTGGCCAGGGTAAAAGTTCGACCTATAAATAAGTTGGTCTACTATGTAATCATATGGCAGAGAGAAAAGTACAGGTGTCATAAAAAAAGTAGAAGTGCAGGAATTACTTAGCCTCAAGATAATGTGAAATTAAAATGAATAACCATAATCAATTGGAATGAGAACCTGAGCATTTCATGCATTTGCACCTCATTGATGGGAGGGGAACTGAGAAATATTAAGCGAGTCTTCTTTGAAAGGCTCTGACAATCATTGGTAAAATTTCATTGTAATAAACGTGGATGCAAAGAGTACTATCAATACCAATAAATAAATAATACCTGATGTGTGGAAAAAGAAAGGAAACTTGTGTTGTTGTGTAAAAAGTTTACCATTAGATGGATTGCAATCTTCCTCATATTTTCAATGTATTCTTGGAGGGGTACATGAGGACTTTGGGCTGTTGGATGTGGATGCATAGAATCATTGCCACCAAAGTACACAATTACCAATGATGGTTGATCAGTGGCATCCTGATTTGGAGGTGACAACAAAAAAGTGATTTCCTTTGAGTCAGTCTGAGCAAGAATCAAGTAACCACAGAGTGCAAAAATGAATCTAAAGATTAATATGGGTGTCTGTGTGTACATTGTTAAGAATTCAAATACAATTTAAAAATTTTACATTAAATAAAAATGAAAAAAAATGACTGTCATATAAAGAAAGAAAGGTTCCCAAACTATGAAATTTAGAGTTTTGTGTTGAAGATGGTATCATTTAATTCATATATCAAATATATAGTATATAGGATAAGTTAATTAGCTAGCTGCAGTTCCATATTTATTAACCACTCCAATTAAAATAAACGCATCTTATTATTTGTCAAGAAAGGATGATATTGAAGTTGATGAAAAGGTGAGATTCAGAATCAACACAGGAATAAAAACACATTCTCAATACCTTAGGAAATATTTTATCCAGAGCTTGCAGAGCACGTCTTGTATTCCAACCGCAATATCCTCTCAAAATTACATCTGCCTATGTCAAGTCAATCTGTGATAAGTTAAACTCATTTTCCATCTTAATGCTTCACTCACAAAAATTAAATGCAAATATAAATTGACTGCTATATTTCAGAATATTTAGACACTTTAAATGCATCTGTTATTAAACCACTTTCAAACATAGGATGTCTATTATCTATATTATATCTATGTAAGTTGTGCAAACTGTAGCGTTGACACCCTCAACAGTGATTCTGTATATTCTTTCTGGTCACATCAGTATTTTTGTTATGGTATCAATTTTAATTCTATATCCTCACTCTGTGCTTATATGGAGAAGACAAATCTCATCCAATTCCATGCTACAGGACCACCACTAAGTCACTTTTCTGCTCCATGATTGACATCTTATTTTTGATTCTCCACAAGAAAACGACCAGCCATAATTTCCATATATCCATTCATCGAATCAGAATCAGTAAACAGGACCTAAATTTTCCCAAAAGAGACTATTGGGTGAAGTCCTGTTCCCAAAGATTAAAAACTCAAGAAGAAATTTGCACAAAAATAAACAGGCAAAACAATTCTTAATGGGTTATCTCTACATGAAAAATTAAAGCACAACGAGCTTTACCCTCTTGAGAATAATTCACCACAACAAAAAGCGAGTGAGTAAACCTTATATCAGAAAGACCAAGATTGTGAAAATCAAAGTGCATGCACTAAAACCAAAAAGAAACAAAAAACGCAGCATTAACATGAATATATATGGAACCATGATGCATGAAGAAGAACAAGATGCAACATATCAAATACCTTGCGAGCATACAAGTTGGCAAGGGTAGCTCCCCAACCTTCACAACTATAACTCAGCTCAACTATGGATGAACCAAACAACACAAATTGAGGCCTCACTGGTCCTACCATTTCTCAAAATATATATCAATAATTCACTCTCACGTCAATATTTATAGATGTGGATTTGCTTTCTTTGCCCTGCTGCCTTCTCTTGTCATTGGCACAGCACGTTCTGTAGATAACGATATGAAAGTTACGTCCTACTTTGGAATTTTGATCAATCACATAAATCAGATCAAATAACTTAACACATGGTATTTCAAGTACTTTTCGTTTTCCAATCAGAATTAATATTTTACGTTTATAATAAGACAAATTCAAGTATGTTTTAATTCTTTCACATGTTACTAAATTTTTACTACTGCTTTTTCTATATTTTTAGATTGTATTCACATATTACTTTTACAAGAAAAAAAAAAAGCTCTATTAAACATCTTTAAACTACCTTTTTGCTTTCATCTGGCTGGGTTTTAATACTTGATTTCCTACGTGTTTATTCTTTTCTATCTATTATTTTCATCTTTATTATCAAATTGACTTTAACATTTTTCAGTTGTTAATAGTTTAAAATTACCGCATATTTAATTTATATTGTTTATTATGAATTTAATTCATATGTTACCAAATATTCGAATTATATATTTAAAATATTAATTGATTAAATTATAGGATACTAGTTGTTTAAATTCAAAACATCACTGTTTTCTATTAAACTGAAGGGAGGCAAATAACACTAATACAAAGAATTATATATGTTTTTGATCTTTTAATTTTTAGTAAAATTTGAAATTAGTTCATTTTTGAGACTTTGGTCCAATTTAGTCTTCTAACTTTAAAATACGTAAATTTAATCATTTTAACCAAATTTTATTAAGTTTATTTGATGTTTTAAATGCATTTCTCAGTTAATGTTAAAGCGAAAATGTGTCAAACGATATAAATAATTCAAATGTTATTATAAAATACATTTGAAATGTCAAATAAATGATATAAAATTAAGTTAAAAGGACTAAATTCATATATATTTTTTAAGTTTGAGAACTAAATTGAGACAAATATTTGGAAAAGAACTAATTTCAATTTTCATTAAAATTAAAAAATAAAAAACATATTTAACCATTAGAAGAAAGTGATTATATATATATATATATATATATGATATAATATATATATATATATATATATAATCATAAAACTAACTATAAGCAACTTGAATGGATTAACATGTGGTGCTAATAGATTATTTTAAATTCTAACCTCATATATAAACTAAAATAATTATAAATGATTTTAAATTTAACTTCTAATTAGTAAATTGTTAAACTTTTGAAAGTTAATTTCTTGTTAAAAGTGTTGTTATAAAACTTGGGTAAAGATTTAAATAGTGTTTTTACAAAGTCGACTAAGTACCCTACAAATTCTTCCACGAACTCTCCAAATGTTTTCAACATTCAAACTCTAATGTACTCGTCCTTCCCCTGAGTATTTGTTCTCTTAGTGTGTGTGCTTGTAGAAGACACTATGGTACTCAAGTTACTCTCTCACATTAGTAAGTAATAAATGCATAATTAATGAAAGCGTAATTAATGACATAGTTAAATGCATTATTTATACTTATAAATTATGGACTTTTTTACCTGGATGGGCCTAGGCCCATAGGCCCAAACACTTGTTGTCTCTTGGATTGTTGTAGTTAATCAAGGGCCATGGTGACTAGTGTCATATACAATGTTATGTGCTGAAAATAGAGATTGGATAGAGTACATGCCAACCTAATAGTCTGACAGGACTATATAAGGACAAACAAGACAAGACCATATTGGTAGATGAATATTTTAGAAAAAATGAATAAGAGGGATTTAATTGTATAACAATAATAAATTAAACTTTGCTTTTGATTTTTTTGTTACATTAAATTTTGAACTTATGATATAGGATTTTATTTTGATCAAGGTTATTTGGTTATCTGAATTCTAATTTTCTTTTCTTTTTTTATTAACATGGTCCATCAACTTTTTATTTTCTAAATTAATCTGTCGTGAGTGAGAGAGATAAGTAAAATATTTTTCGAATTAATTTATTTACGAATGTGTTGAATAATTTAAAAATAATTTTTAAATATTTTTTAAGGGTAATATAAACTGTTATATACATTTAAGAGTGGCAAAATAGGTCAATTCAACCCGTTTAAGCCCAATCCTACGTTGGCCCACCAAAAATGGGTCTAGTCGGATTGGTTTTTCAATTGATAACAGATTGAAATTTACAACTTAGTCCGGCTCGTTGGCAAGCTTTTATTTTGCTGTCTAGGGTGTTTTAGATCTTAGTCGAGTTGTATCAGACCTTGGTCGAACTATATTGGATTTTGGCTGAGTTGTATCATTCTTCGGTCGAGTTATATCCGACCTTGGCTGAGCTGTATCAGACCTCGCGTATCAGATGTCGACCATACTGTTGAGTTGTGTTAATATGAAGTGTCGCACAATTTTTTTCAATAAAGCTTGTTGGCGCACTTTCCTTACCCACGGGCTGACCTATCGAACATGGTGGGTTAATTTGGACTCCTAGATTCTCGATGTACTTTGTGGTGCTTTTCATATGGCTTTAAGAACACTTTGACAGGATAAGGATAATTGCACCTGGTCTACACTTTGGCCAAATCTAGTTTTAACTTTTATGTTTATTGTGTTGGTTTCATGATTCAATTTGTTCTCAGGACTATTTGATTCACATTATATAAATATACTTAATACTTCCAAACAGAGACTATTAAATTTATTTGAATGAAATCCATCAAACATAGCCTTAAGAGAGAAGTAACCATTTGATGCCTAAACATCAAGAGGAATTTATATTTACATGTGTGGTTCATGATACGCTAACCTTATCACTCGTTGTTTAAGAGAGAAGTAACCAAAGTGAAAGACAACATTCGAGACGCTTTGCATGACTCATTCCTACCCATTAATTAGTTTAATTTGAAGTTAACTTTGAAAATTCGAAAGTTTATAAATTAATCTCATATATTTGCGAACAAAAAAAATTAATTAGTTGAATTTTAGGTGTCTATTTGATGTGTGTATGAGTTTAATTGTGTTAGGATTAGTAAAGAAGACTAAATTCAACTTTGAAAAATTTCCTTAACTTGATGAATTAATTTGTTTAATAAAAAAAATTTTCACAAGAAAACTTATTTAAGTTTCAACAAATGTTAAGGTAATTTTGTTAATTTTTCATCAACATACATATGTTGGAAGTCTCATGTCTACTAAAGATAAGACCATATACAAGTGAGATACAAACCGCACTTTACAAACCGGTTTTGTAGGATTGAGTTAGGCTTAAAAGCCACTTTATAATAACATACACATTTCAATTCATATTCAATATAGTTAAGTTAAAGAAAGAAAAAGTGAAGGTTCGTTTAGTTTGATTTTTAAAAGATCAGAACCCTTTATAAAAATGTTAGTTTGATCTTTGAAGATGTACTTTTTAAAATTGAAAAACCGTATCACTATCTTTCCTCTTTAGAGAAAAAGATAAGTAAGAAAATAATTCTCAGCGATATTCATTTATTCATTAGTTCATAAGACGTCATCATTAATAGTATGAAATTTAACTAAAACTTACATAATTAAGAAAAATAAGAAAACGCACAAACAGTTAAAAAAAACACAATCCAAGATAAAACCATCCAACAAAACACAAAACAATACTAATCTGCAATATTCAACTATATTTTACTACTTAATTTTGAAGCTTTTTGTATTGTGTTGTGTAGGATCGGGATTGTCCTAGCTCATTATTACAACTAGGGATGACAATGGGTCGGGTCGGGCACGGATAGTGTCTACCCACAACGCGACCTGACAAAAAAAAATTCACTCGCTACCCGACCTGATACCCGTACGGATATTTGTTTAAAAAATATTTACGGATATTTTAAAACCTATGGATATCCGTGGATACCCGCAAATATTTTAAAAAATATACTTTTATAAAATATTATAATAAAACTTAAATAAAATTATAAAAAATATATAAAATATAATATATATTAAATTAAATATAAATTAAAATTTAATTTTAAATTATATTTAACCTTATAAAATATAAATTAATGTTAATTTTATTAAATTTGACTTAATAAAATATAAATTAAATTTTTATTTTTATTTTTTGTGGGTAGCGGGTATCCGCGAGTATGGATAGTATAATATCCGCACCCGACCGGTTTATAAGTGGGTATTAAAAAATCTGTAACCCACGGATAATAAATATCTACGGGTACCAACTATTCATCGTAGATTTTATCCGCAGATATCTGCGGGCAAATTGCCATCCCTAGTTATAACCGTGACATACAAGCCAAGATCATGTTAGATTATATTAGCCAACCTCATTTCAGTATGTTTGGAATTGTAACAAATCGATCTAATGTTACGATACCACATTTATTGCATTATCTAAACTTTTATAGAGTAGGACTACATTCTTAAAAATAGAGATGATAAGTGCAATCAGGTGTATATATATATATATATATATATATATATATAAAAGTTAAACAAAGTCAAAATTAAAAGTGTAAAAGAAATATTGATCAAAATATGTGAATTAGGAAGAATACTATTATATGATTTGGTGTTGTTTAATTTGATTTTGAGTTTTGGAGTTTTAACTCTTGAGAATTCCACCGTCTTTGTTTTTGGTCTTGAGCTATTCTACTGATTTTGTGCCCCATTAGTATTCAACAATTGAGAACAAGAAACAATCACTTTATCTAGTTTGATTTTTTGGTTTTAAAAATCTATTCTATTGTCATTTCTTAGGTGTTTCTTATTTGTACGCTTAAACTTGTTTATAAGCTTTGTTTCTTGCTTGTTTCACTTTGAAGTTAGCTTTGTCTCATGAATTCTCTTTTTGAGTTTAGTTTTTTTTTTTCATTTTGAGCCTTTTCGTGATTTGCTTTTGTTAACCTTCTTTTTGTTTTGGTGTATATATTTAGTGTAGGCTCTTTTTGGATGTGGACAAATTACTTGAAGTAGCATCTTAGGGAGTGTAAACCAAAGTGAAACTTAAAGTAAAACTTAAAGTCGAAGATTTTACAAAGTAGGAGCAACCAAACACTTGAGAGAAGAAAATGAGAAAAGGAACAAAAAACTTTGAG